CTTTTGATGACTGGTCAGGAGCCTGAGAAAGAGAGAGAGGGAGAGGAAGCGGGAGAGGAAGGGGGAGAGGAAGGGGGAGAGGGAGGAGAGAGGGGAGAGAAGGAAGAGGGGGGGGGGGGGGGGGGGGGGGGGGAGAAAAGAGATGTACCAGGATCAGCGCGAGGAGCAGGTCCTCTCGTCATGCTCTTGATGGGAAGGAGAGGACAACCACAAGCTTGCTCATAGCTCGCCACGTCAGCGAATGATGAGTGGTAAACCTGTGAGGGTAAAGAACAAAAAAAAAAAAACAAAAAAAAAAAAAGTCATTTCAGGCAATCAAAGAAACTCGATCCTCGCGAGAAACCGACCCGTGAAAACAAACAACAAAAAAAAAAACTCCATCCTCGTGACAATCTGCGCCCTGAAAGTCGTCATTTCATTACTCGCGCTCTCACAGCGAGCAGATCGCAAATCATGCGGTTCAGTTCACCCACCCTTACACAATCGAGGTCGTTATCTTCTTCATGCGTTTCTTTTTTTCCTTTTTTTTTTTTTTTTTCACACACACACACACACACCCCGACCCACAGCCCCTTCTATTCTGGGGGGCGCCGGTCCGGTTGCTTGTCACAGGCAAGCTATCCTCATCCGTTTCATCCATATATGCATATACTTGTTGCTACTTAAACCACCAGTACTTGGCCCAGCTATCGGCCGTGGGAAAGAAGAGAATAGAGTAGAAACGTTTCTAGTTGGATGAATCTGGGCGCTCCTGCAGTGGCCCGTACGTTTCCTAAAATTCTGGCTGGCTTGTTAACAAACCGGCACGACTGTAAAAAGTGCTTACTGGTGGTTCGAACGAACTTTCAATGACTTTGCATCGTCGAGGAAAAATAATGTAATGAGAATTGGGTTGTTTTTCTTTGTTTTTTTTTTTGAGACCGTCAAAAAAATACTATACTACTAGTAATAATCATTTTTTTTAAGTTGCTCCGACAAAGAAAAAACAAAATAAAGAACAGAGGAGACGAGGCGAGGCGAGGCGAGGCGAGGCGAGGCGAGGCGAGGCGAGGAAAAAGCGTGTACGGATAAGCACCAAGTGCTTTCGCTTCGTTCCCCTCTTCTTTGCTTGGCTCCTTGTCGGTGCTGGGGATGATACGGACAAAGGAAATGAGAGAGAGAGAGAGAGAGGTGAGCTCCCACTTGGTAGCAAAGAAGGTTGGATGAAGCGCCTGCACCTAGACGGGTTTTATGCAGAGATGCAGACGAGCACACCCATAACGATTTTTTCCTGCACCTCTCCGCAAACACGTCCCGATTCAGACGTTAAATTCAATCCCCTTCCCTTGTGGAGCTCGCCCCGCACAGACACAGAGAGAGAGAGAGAGAGAGAGAGAGAGAGAGAGAGAGAGAGAGAGAGAGAGGTAAAAGGAAAACAAAGCAACAAATCGAGTAGTCGCTCGTCGCAGAGAATCGAATAGTATCACACGTCCCGCGCGTGTTCTGCCATCGTTACCTTTCAAAAAATTTAATCACTTACTATTATTATTCGTTGCAAACGTTAATCCCCCTTCCTCGGAGGTCCCAGGCGGCCGGGGGGCGGGGGGGGGAGGGGAGCCGGGGGGAGGGAGGCAGGGGGGAGGCGGGGAGCAGGGGGGGGGGGGGCGGGGGGGCCGCAGAGAAGAAAAGAAAAGAAGGACATACTGCACACGCAAACGCATGAATTGTTGAAAACCGCCGGACAACGACCGATGGGAAGACGAACTTCTCTCTAAAGAACTTCTCTCTAAAGAGTGGTGACACCTCGATTTCTGCGTGCCATCATCCTCGCGCTTGCGCAGGGAGCAACCAGGCATATTGCTAATTACCGTAATTGATGTCCTCTTTCTCGTTGTCTTAACGGATGTCCCGAAGGACTTAAGCCGCATATAATATAATTGGTTAGCTTCGCACGCACGCCAACGACGAACGCGAGTTGGCTTTACCCTGTTTAAATATATTTTGAAAAGAAAAAAAAAAGCACGAAAAAACAAACATAAAAAACAAGAGGTTGCTCTGCTCTGTTATGTCTTCTTTACCTATGTCCAACGATAGAGTGCAGGACTATTCCCCTTTTTTTTTTTCTTTTTTTTTGTTCCGCAGTGTGTCAAAAGCCAGGCTCCACTACTCGCCAGAGGCCCAGAACACAATGTGAAAATGGCCAATACATCTTGCCACGTTCTATTGCGACAGCCATTCGACACTTGAGCATTTTGGGAGTAAATGAAGACGACGACGCCCTTAGCTGATGTCGTGAAGGCCACCGGAATAGGAAACAAGGACCGAGGATGCCACCCAAAAAAACTGGATCTTCAGGCCCGCTAGTGAGATGAGAGCGAGAGAGAGAGAGAGGGAGCGAGAGACGCAACTCACCATAGCTGCCCTGCTAGATTCGGCTAGAACACGAGAACTGCTTTTGGGAGAAATGTGAGCAGAAGAAACGTCAACGAAGCCAGCCAGGGAAGACTTGCACGAACCTCGAAGAAGCCGAGGATACTGCTCAGGGCCTCGCTACACTTCACCACTCTCTCTCGTCCATATGTGCCAAATGGCTACCCGGTAGCATTACGGGCCCAGGGCCGGGCTACTCGTACTCAGGTCCTGGCTACAACTGTGCAGTGCTACCCTCTGCTATTCTGTCTGGGGGCAAATGGCAGGTGTTGATCGCCCCGTACTGGGCGCCTTCGACGCAGCGGACCCTCTGACCCAGTCTCTGCCGACCCCAGGGCTAGGTCCCACTTACACGAATTAGGAGATGTTGACCGTAGATAGCACAGATCAACGGTCAGAATCTCGTAATCCGTGCAAGTGGGACCTTGCCCCCGACCGAATGCAGGTGCGAAGCCAAAGGCTTGTAGTCCACTGACTTTTACCTGGAAGTACGCGGGACTGCTGCACCAGTTTTTTTTTGCCCTTCACGACGGGCCACGCGCCCTGGAATCCGTCCGGTGTTTCGAGATCTGCCAGGTCGACCGCGTATGAAGCTCTCAAAGTCTGTTCATCAAAATGGACACGTTATATGGATGACCGCTTTTCGCAATAATAAAAATAAATATAAATAAAAAGCTATGTGCAACTACAGTGTCATCTTCTGCAACGAAAGGGCTAGGTACCAGCGGTTGCGCTACCGGACCCTCCACATGTCGCACACAACCCCCCTTGCGGACACTACCGGACGAAATTTCCTGGTCCACCGGTCCAACACGGAAACAGCCGGGAAAGGGACGCCCTTGTCGTGATAAACCCCGCAGGGCCCCATAGGTGAAGTCCCATGAATGATGATTACGGAGGGTCCGCCGAACTGAGATCAGAAAAATTAGGGTTGTGCTCAACCAGTACCTTTCTCAGCTATCAACTCCGACCCTGGAGCTACCTGTAAGCCCAGCCTTGCCGAGCCTACCTTCTTTCTTTTTTTTTTTTTCTGCATTACAGACATACTTACCGTGAGGGCACAGGTGCGCAGCCCGTAGTTTGTTTGTTTATGCGGTTCGGGAAGGGCAAGGTAGTGATTATGCTGTACGTATGTTTTGTCATGCCGGTTGGTGCTTTATTCACAATCTTCATGGGACGCTGGACCCAGTTTCCAGCAGGTGGCGCTCCCCATCAATAGACAGGACAATGTATGTGCGTGTGTATATGTGTGTGTGTGTATGTGTGTGTGTGTGTGTGTGTGTGTGTGTGTGTGTGTGTGTGTGTGTGTGTGTGTGTTTGTGTGTGTGTGTGTGTGTGTTTTGAGGAAACAGGAAGCCACTGCACCAAACACAGCGCAGCAAACAATCAAGCCATTCCTAACCTAGCGGACCCTAGTACTCTTGCCAGTTCAGGTTCACGAAACTAATTCCCCAAGGTTCACATTGAATTCAATCATTCCGATATCCTGTCCCATTCACGTGTTTTGTGCCGTTTGTGAGAGAACAGATATGAGAAAGTCACAATGGGTGGTATGATGCAATCAAGGCCTATTTCCGTGCGGTGTATTATGTGCATATGCAGTCGTTTGTTATAATTGGGTCAAACTGAAAAAGTGGGCTAAAGATATTATATACATCACACCATATCCGAAGTCACACAAACGGGTATAAGCAGGGAAACATTGATTTTAATTGCCAATCAATACAACCGACATGCCTTATAAAAAAAGACCAATTGGCGAGCACACAACTAAAGCCTACTACTAAATGCAAACAAGTTGAAAGGGCAATCCATACCAGGATCGATACCCAGATTATCATTCAAAACACTCAACCCCTGCCATCATATATCCCGAAGAAGTCTGTATTTCCAAAGCGATTATCGTTTATCTACGTATTTGCGACAGATATAAGACAAACAAGAAGTCACACAAATTCAAATAGAAACCCAAAAACAACAGTGTTACTTCGAATATTGCCAGTGTAGTGATAGATGCGCAGCCTACCTGTAGTAGCCAATCGTTTTCATATCACCTTCATTCCCCCATCAATCCATATTGCTACTTATATCCTATCCCTCGTTACTATCCCCGCGCCTGTACATCTTTCCCCTCAGATCCTATCCACGCTAGGGCCAAAGATTCCTTCTATCAAACCATCTCCTTCACCGCCTTACAACGCGCTCGCTATATCAGCTCTCATATTCTCCGGTTCTGATATGACCGATTAATGCGATGTGCAATCTTCTGCTGGCAGCCCATACATCAGAGGGAATATCGAGGACCTGATTCAGCAATGCAGGACTAAAACGCCGATTACCGCCGACATCGTGATAGAAGAACAGTACGTTTAAACCGTAGATCGTCTTTTTTTAGCCCCTCCCTCCCCCTAGTCCAGGTTCCCATCCATATCCGAACCCACTCCATAGCTACTGTAACCCCATCTATCATAATCTATATCCAAGTTCCACCAAGGCAAGCAACCCCTTCCATCGTCGAAACCTTCCACTTTGAAGCGATCCCCGACGAATTGCTATTGGTATAGCAGACTATGCAACCGCCCGCCCCTAATGCAAAAAACCCCACGAGCGCGAAAATGGCAAACCACGGAGATCAACGCAATAGTGTCAGCCATATACATAGCCTCCACACAAAATACCTCACTCTTGCTTTTCCATTCAAGACCGTCGCACGTGCACCGTTTCCTCAACCCCCGCCCCTGTCGCTGCAGTTGTATACCCCTCCAGGCAGATCCGAACCAAAGGCGGCCCACCGATTCTCCCTATCACCCCCTTCTCTTTATTGCATCGCATTGAGCTCGTCAACCTATTCTCCACCCCCTTTTTTTTGGGTCAAGCCTCAACAGATAACCGTGACGCCCAATCTCTTGCAGACAGCATATACACCAGAAGGAACACTGAAGACTTGAACCATCGATATACGATTAACCCACCGATTATCGCCAACATCGTGATAAACGAACAACATGCCTAAACCAATAGATCGCTTTTATAACACACCCCCTCCATTCCACTCCATACCCCCATCAATACCCTAACCGTCACCATGGTTACAGTAGCCACACATATCCCCATCCATATCACAAACATCAACAGGCAAATCATCCCTTCCATCATTCTACTCCTTTCGACAAAATTTCTGTTGTGTAGTGAACGCAGATGAGTTGTCGCTGGTATGGCCGAATCCACAATCACACACTCTTAGTGCAGAAAACTCCATAAACGCGAAGAAGGCCAGTAACGCCAGGAAGATCGCAAAGATCGACACTATAGCAACAACCACATACGCAGACTCCATACGGAAAAACTCACCCTCGCCTTCTGCTCAATGATTACTGCACGCAAACCAATTCCTACATTATCACTCATACGCATACAGTCATCAAGGTACAAACCACCAATGAAAGAAGCCAAACGAGGTTAGGTAATACCATGCACCGAGGAAACAAAGATTATAACGTAGTATAGAATTCCCATTTCAACTTAACGACCCCAATGTGCCGACGAAACAGTAGGGTAACTAGTAGGAAGTCCAAAAAACTTTTTCGCCAATCCCTACTATGATTGGCTCATCAGGGGGCACATTACCCTTAGTTATCGTGTTGAAAGGGATAAGGCTTTCTTTTAAGCCCGAGGGGAAGTGGGATAGGCTGCGAGCAATGAGGGTGGGGACATGAATTCATTACCACACTTGCCGGAGCCGCTGGTTCTCCCATGTCCGATATCCGATGATCGAATCAAACAGTTCTCCACACGTGAATGCAAATGATCAGGAGAGAGCAAGCAGAGGCGCAGGTAACCATCATACGCAGTAGAAAGCACCGCAAGGATATGAGAGTCAGATGAGGGAGAGAAGCATCACCGCAATGCGACGGGCGGAGTTTAGCTAGGGAGCATCGTTTGAGACAAGCCTCCTCAGCCGTAGGGACTATGGCGCATAGCCGCGCACCTCGAGTCCCACCTATGTGTGATGAACTTAGAACACTCGCGGCCTGCGATACTCCGCCGATTGAGGAAGGAATTCATCGGGCCGCCCACTTAATTAGGACCGGCTCAACCAAACGAGTAGCGTGTCACTCGGTCAGAAATTCCTACAGGATACCATCCTATATGTGCTATTTCTTAGCCACCCCGAGGAGGACATGGCGTGGGTTTGTGTGGGTGGCCTTTACCCCTCATATTAACTCACCGAAATACCTTTTAGGTCCTAAAGAAAAACACCTTTGAGTACATTAATATATGGAAAATTCAGTTCCTTCGGGAGAGGGAAGGGAGCACCCTTTTTAAAAAAAAAAAAAACGTTTCCTGTCCAGAAATTAGTCATTGGCCGGCCCCCCTATAGGGGGTTTTTTATGGGGTTTATATATTTATATATATATATGGGTCTGTAAGTATGCATGTGTGTGTGTG